TATGCAGTACAGGACTGTTTCCTGCGGATCTTCAGTTAAAATGTCAGTCGCCATTTAAAGAAAAATTTTCTCAGCGCTGAACTTTAATGAACACCTAACCGTACAAAAAATTCTCCCATTTTGCCGCATGTACTTAGAACTATCGTTCTTGGTAAGCTTGACATATTTTTCTGTCACCGGAACTTTTCTCATGCTCCACAAAACTGTCTGCCTTGGTATTCGCTTTAAGGCTTTCTCCAGGTCTAAGAACACCATGCAATCTCCCTGATACTCTATCTACATGTTTCAATAAGCGATCTTAAAGAAAAGATAACGTCCGTGGGTAGACCCTGAAATAAAGCCAAATTCAAGGTAATATCGACCTACCTCCTAAAACTTTTGTTTAGTGTCCTTTCATATATCTCCATGTGGCTCACCAGTTTAATTTGCCAACAGTTTTCGCAAGCCAACATGTACAGTATTGTAAGATACCGGGAAAAGTAAAGCGATGATTTTTCCGGGAGCCGAGAATCCAAAAAGGATTGTAATTAATAGGAGTTTCAGTTTACATTGACGAACTGTCGATTTACTGACAAGTTAAAGGCAACAAATTCGATTATAAGTTAAGCGATAGATATGCAATATTTCGACTACGCCAATGACAATTTTTTTGGGGTTCGAACAACATTACAACCACAGCAGTAGACTATTCAAAGCAACCACTGCTCAAACTCAAAGCTCACTTCACTGTATTATAAAATAATAACGCAAAAATTTGCGACCAAAATAAATTGCGAACCCCGCCTCTGACGGTCTCAAGCCCGGATGAGAAAGGTTAGAGAATATGGAAGGTAGCCATAAAACAGCCAATTGCCCCTCTAGGCTTTGCCATCATTGAACATTATACCGGATCGGTCATCGAGCGGGTTACCAAGGAATGAGCAGGCTGTTGGAGGACTCAGGCAAGCCGTGAAACGTCGGTGATCAGAACCTGCTTCCCGTCTTCTGGCAGCGAGAGGCGCAGCAGCACAACATACTTCGCCGAAGATCGACAGAACGACGACGAAGATACAACTAAGCAACGGAGTCGCTACCCGTTCTGAACGGAGGAGGTAGACAGAACGATGACATTATGACATGTCAGATAAAACTCCACAACAACCACACCGGCCGTGGGAGGCTACAGTAAAAAACTGGAACACATTTTCACGCAGAATGAAAGAGCAACAGCAAGTTGATGAGGGGGAATAACCTGACTGAATATCCTTGAACTCTCTTCAACGAAGTGCCAGGGCTGTGGACTTCTAAACTTCTGCAGGTTGAAGCTATTCTGCAAAGGTGTCGACATTACGAAACGACTTTAGGCCGGTGTTGGTATTACGGTGGAATCCAACGAGGTCGACAAAATCGTTGAATAGAAGCCTGTCAGCGCAAGAATGGAAATCCTCCGACAGAAGCTACAGCAAGCTAAACCGCTGATCACGTTACAGGTTTATGCGCCCAATTTCAAGGGAGAATATGAGTCCTTCTTAGAGGAAGTGGAGTGTGCTCTGTCCGAAGTACCGAATACAGAGTCCCTCATACTAGCGGGCAATTTTAATGCGCATGTCGGAGTAGACAGTGAAAAGTAGAAAGGCGTGATTGGAAAGAACGACCCTAGCGAGCTCAACAATATAAGCGTGAAGTTGCTGCAGTTTTGTGCAAACAACAGACTGTCCTTCACGATTTACTGTTCTTCGAGCATCGAAGCGTGCATCAGTATATCTGGTACTGCGAAACTTTGGCATTAAAGTCGATGATCGATCTCATTATCATATCGTCAGACTTACGACATTCTGTAACGGATATTCGCGTTAAGATAGGAGCAGGGCTGTCAACCGATCATCGCCTTGTTCTTGGCATGCCTACTCTGTGAGAAAAAGAGCATCATGCAAGGATCTGGCTGCAGCAGCAACCAGAAAATCATATGGGAAACATTATGTTCGGCGGATAAGAGAGCGAAACTTGCAAACAACTTCGCACGACGGGTGAACAGATTTTGATTATGACTGCTGATGTGGAAACAAAGTGGAAGCTCATTAAGAACGGTGTACAGCGGGTTGGCCTGCCACCTGGAGGCCAGAAAAGAACTTCCTATGGAGAAGCAGTCAAAGAGAAGAAAGAAGCATGCCACAAATAGCTTGGAAACAATGAGCCTTCCACTCGTGTACACTATGTCGAGACATGCAAGGCGGCAGCGAAAGCAGTGGCGAAAGCCAAATCTGATTCGTTGGAGAAGTTCGGTGAGGTGTTGGAGTCGAATTTCTACACAGCAAACAAAGTATTTTGGCAGACCATCCGCCGGCTCCGAGGTGAACAGAGGGGCAGTTTCAGAGTCTTAAAGGACAGGTCTAGACACCCTCTTACCGAGGATGATGACATTTATCGGCGATGGAGGTGAGTAACCGCAGGAAGACTGCCGTGTAGAATAGCAGGGACGGATATTAGTCCTTCTGTAGATGAAATCACGCAATCTGTGAAAAGCCTGAACAGTGGAAAGGCTGCTGGAATTGAATACCGACCGTTCAAAGCATTAGGCGAACAAGGAATGATGGCCACACGCGTCTGACAAACTGTAATGACTACGAGTAAGACACCAACGGACTTGATAACGGGAGTTCTTGTGTCCGTGTTAAAAGAGGGAGATCACGCGAGTGCTATAATTATAGAGGCGATGACTTGCTGAGCCTCGCGCCTACAGCTACGCAAAGGTGCTAGGAAAGAGTTGCCGCGGAATAACTGACTCCAAATAACAAGAGCACTGTGGCTTCCGATTCGGCCAAATACATCTGACCAGGTGTTCCCCGTACGCGAGATTGCTGTGAAAAGATGGATGTTCGTCCATCCGATTTATATGTCCTATGTGAACCTACAGAAAGGCTATGACCGGATTCCGCGCAACAATCTATGGACATGCCCGCGAACATATGTAATCCACGGCAGTTGTTACGGGCCATTCAATCACAATATGCTGATAGCACGTGCTACGTAAGAGTAAAT